ACGGGAGTCACCCTCAGGAGAGGTACTATGGTATAGTGGATAGAAAGCTGGCCTAGAAGCCAGGAAGAACTGGGGTCAAATCCCACCTCTGATAAATACTGGGAAAGTCACTTAACCTTTCAGTGCTCTAGGAAACCTAAAACCTAAAAGAAAACAAAGTGGCAGAGGAGTTGCTGACCTGCATCAGTAGAGGAATTTATCTCACCTGGGGAATCTATGGCCTCAAGGCCACTTGTGGCCTTCTAAATCCCTGGGTGGGGCCTTTTGACTGAGTCAAAGTTTTACAAAGCGAATCCTTTTAATTAAGGGCATTTGTTCTGTGCAGTTTGGATTGAGTCAAAGGCCATACTTGTGGACCGAGGGTAAAGGTAGGGAACCTGCAGCCTCGAGGCCACTGGCCCTTAATAAAAGGATTTGTTCTGTGCAGTCTGGATTCAGTCAAAGGGCCGCACTTGAGGACCTAGAGGGCCACATGTGGCCTGGAGGCTGCAGGTTCCCCACCCCGGCCCTAAACCAATACAGTCAAAAGTCCAGTCCCTATCATCCTCATCATCATGTGGGTTGCTAGGTCATTTTGAGCTAAAGAGACCATTGAGCCTGCTGTGATAAAATAAGCCAAGGCTGGGAACCTGGACCCCAAAGGCTGAGGGGAAATTAGTAATGGCCAGGGTAGAGGGCAACTGGGTTCTACCTTCTGTGTATGCCAGAGATGTCAAACAGACTGAGTCCAGATTAAAATGTAATTGGGAAATATTTAATAAAACAAACACAAATACAATAAAACGTATAATGTAATATTACATTTTGAAACTCATTCAATGTGCAGCTTACATGGATTTTGGTTGCTATTGAGTCATTTCTATCATGTCTGACTCTTTGTGATCCCATTTGGGGTTTTCTTGGCAAAGATACTGAAGACACTAAAGCCATTTCCTTTTCCAGGTCATTTTACAGATGAGGAAACTGAGGCAGACAGGGTTAAGTAACTCACCCAGGGTCACACAGCTAATAAGTGTCTGAGGCTGAATTTGAACACAGGAAGAGGAGGCTTCCTGACTCTAGGCCTAGTGCTGTATCCACTGTACCACCCAGCTGCCCCCTGTGTGGACAAGTGACCACGGCTGCTATTTGAGTTTGACATCAGTGGCGTATATCCACAGAGGCAAGAGGGGATGATGGTGGTGCAGAGGAAGGAATCAATTATAGCTTTTACCTGCCCGGTCACTTCTGAAACACTCCTCTTACGTCTTACCCATCCCTGAAACCTGGACCATCCTCCTGCCAAGCCCAGCAAGCAGCCCCCTGCCTCTTCTAGGCTGAGGTCTCCCTAGGACACTCATTCTGCATTAACAATAGCTTCGGGAATCTGCAGGCAGGGTAGCAACAGCAGCAGCCTCCAAGACACTGCTACCACCAACCATCAGGCTAAAAATAGGAGTGGGGAGGACTCCTGGAAGAAAGGGTTAGGAACTATAGCACCTGCATAGGATCAGGATTAGCTCTTATGGCAGCCAATGCAAGCTAGCTAGAGGAAAGCCCTCCAGCTCTGGCAGGGATGGAGGGTGTGGGAATCCTCATTTCCTGAAGCTCTACCTCCTGGACCACGGTAATACTGGGTGGGGCATCCTAGAAGCAGCAGGCTGGGTCACAGAGGCCGACAATCCCCTCCACCCCCAAAATCAGGGATCCTGGGCCTCCAGAGGCTGATCCATCTCTGGATTTTGCCACTCCCCGGTGCTGTAGATTGGCTTAGTGTCTCAGCAACTGTTCCTGCAAAGAGGTGGGGGCACGGGGGGCTCCCTGTTGCCTTTGCCAGTGCCTTGTGCAAAGAAGGACTGAAAATACCCAAATGATCAGAGCTAACCTCAAGCAGAGCAGCCTGGCTTTGTCCCTAATGAGCATTCCTCAAAACCCCAGGGTAACCTATCAGCAGTCACGTTGCAGGCAATGAATATGGTAAGGGACCTGTTCCCTGCCTAGCCTTCTCTTTTTCTGTCACTAGCATATTCCCCTAAAGCAAGCATCCTTAACCTATTTTGTGTCGCAGACCCCTTTAGCAGTCCGGTGAAGCCTTATGGTCAATCCCCTTCTTAGAATAATAGTTTTTAAAATGCATGAAACAAAATGCACAAGATTACAAAGGGAACCAATTATACTGAAAAAAAGATGTGATTTCTTTTTCTCATCCAACTTCATAGACACCCCTGAAATCTATCCACAGACCCCTTGGGATGTGGACCCCTGGTTAAGAATCATCCTAAAGGAAGCTGGCACACAGATGGGGAACTCACCTGCAAAACTAAGTGGGGAGTAGTTCTCTCTCCCCACCCCCAATCACACGCACATTTATCTATGGACTCACTTGCCTCTAGGAGACAAAGCATGGTTCTTGAACCACTAACAAGGCACAGTTCAGTCTGTGCTGAGTAAACAGGTAACGAGATGCTCTCTGAGAAGCCTAGTGCTGAAGGTGCCTGCCCACACTCCAAGAAGTACCAAATACCTAGACAGGTGAGATTCTACCCTGGCTTTTCTAAGATTTCCAGGAGAAGAAAACTCAATAATCCATGCCAAAGCTGAAAAGCCATCAGACAAGCCTTCCTTAAGTCTAACCTTGAGTCTCTCGATGCAGGAGCTTAAAGCTGAACCCTCTTGCTCTAAAGAAAACAGAAAGGACCAACACTAGTCACCTCCTTCTGAATGACATTTTCTCCTAGGTGAAAGGATATTAATAAATTAAAAAATAAGTCACCTCTCTGAGCATCTACTTGATAATAAAACTGGAAGTTCTTCATCACAGGGATCAACAAATCCTGCATGCCAGGGGACCAACTAATTTCTTTTTTCTTTCTTTTTTTTCCTTTTATTTGAAGGCAATCATGGTTAAGTAACTTGCCCAGGGTCACACAGCTAGTAAGTGTCTGAGGCCTGATTTACTCTTGTCCTCCCAACTCTGGTTGGTGCTCTATCTACTACGCTGCTTAGCTGCCCCTAGGTTAACTAATTTCAATGTAGTTCCCATTCATTTGGTTTAAGTGTTTTGTTTTTTTTAAAGTGTGCTGACTAAATACATATTTACTTATTACTCTACTCTCTCAATAACTTCAGAAGGAGACTACCTTGGTGGATGTAGACCTAGCCTTGAAATCAAGAAAACCTTAGTTCAAATTCCACTCACTGTCTATGTGACTCTGGGCAAGTCACTTAATCTCTGAGTGCCCCAAGCATCTACCCATGGGAGTTCTTAACCTAGCATCCATGATTTTTTTTATATTTTGATGACTGTATCAATATAATTGATTTTCTTTGTAATCAAAGGATTACAAAGGACTTTTATTTTATGCATTTTTTGGAGAACGGGTCCATGGCTTCACCAGACTGAAACAGGGGGTCCAGGGCACAAAAAGGGCTAAGGATTCCTGCTCTAAGATTGTAAGTAGGAGAGAAGATAAAGTTCCTCATCAGAAGCTCTTTATACCTATGAAATTATTGGTTCAATATCTCCTTCCCTGCCCCTTCCAACACCAAAACAAAGCAAAAAAAAAAAAAAAAACCAGACAAGCAAACAAAACCACATTTTAAAGAATCCATACTACCAGTTAACCTAGATAACAGCATGGACCCATCCACCTAGGGTTTTCTCTATGGACACACTAAACAGTCCTGTCCAGCTGAGGCTTGAGCTATTTCATTCTTTTGTATTTTCACTGCCTGGCGCAGTGCCCGACACATGATGGGTGCTTAACAAATTGTTGTTGTTCAGTTGTTTTCAGTGGTGCCCAATTCTTCGTGACCCCATATGGGAACTTCTTGTCAAAAGATATTGGAGTGATATGCCATTTCCTTCTCCAACTCATTTTACAGATAAGGAAACTGAGGCAAACAAGGTTCATTGACTTGCCCTGGGTCACACAGCTAGTAAGCGTCTGAGGCCCGATTTGAACTCAGGAAGATGAATCTTCCTGACTTCAGGCCCAGAACTCTATCCACTGTGCCATCTAGCTTCCCACTTAATAAATAATTATTGATTAATTGAATACCAAAGGTTCTACCCACATACAGATGGCACAGTAGTACCCAGATGTGGTCTTTGACCCTTTCTGATCCTTCCATATACCTCCAGTGATCCTAATTTGGGTCTGGACCTGGACTTCTTAAGCACCTGCTATGTGCTAGCCAGAGGTGGGGAACCTGCGGCCTCGAGGCCATATATGGCCCTCTAAGTCCTCAAGTACGGCCCTTTGACTGAATCCAAAAGTTTGAATCCAGTAATTCCTCTTTTTGTCATCTTTTCTTCCCCATTAGAATGTAAGCTCCTTTAGGAAGGCACTGTCTTTTCCTCTCTTAGGGGCAATATCAGAGGGAAATCGCTAAGATTAAGGGGATCTAAGAAAGTGACTTCAGTCGAGAGGTGACTAGAAAAGAAGCCAGGGAAGCCAGGAAGAGAGATGAGGAGGGAGAGAGGTGAAGGCAAAGGCCATCTGTATATGAGTGTGGACAGATTGTAAGAAGGCCAGTGTCTCTGGATGGCAGAGTACACAGAGGGGATTATTAATTATTAATGAAACCATTTGTTTTTGCTTTCACAGGCCAAATAGTCCAACCCACACAGAGGAGGAAACTGAGGGTCAAAGAGGTTAAGTGATCACCTAAGGTCAGACAGATAATAAGCATCAAAGGCAGGATTTGGACCAAGGTCATCATCTGAGGCCTGAACCAGTATGAGTTGAGCTTGAGAGTCAAGGCAAATGTGTTGAACCCTGGTTTAGCAAATCTCCTTAGTTGGGGCTCATATAGGGCCCTGGAAGGGACAGAAAAAAGACAAGGATGCCACTCTATGAGAACCTCCCACACCCCATATCCCACCCAACCAATAAACTTGAGTTCGAAGGCCAGACATTTTCATAGCTCCCACAGAGCTGAGCACTGCACCTGGCACAGAATAGGTGCTTTGGATGTGTTGAATGAGAGAAGGAGGGAGGGCCAGGGCAAGAGCTCACCTGCAGACCAGAGTAGCGATAATGACACACCAGGCCGTACAGCAGCAATCAGCATCAAGATGTTCCTCACTTTTCCGATGGCGACAGCACAGCCAGAAGGAGTAGAAGAGGAGGAAGAGGAGGTCCAGAGCCAGGCAAGATACAGCTACGCTACCCAGCAGCAATAAGGCCTATGGAGAGAGAGAGATGGGAGATGTTATAAAATCATTAGTCATCCAGGCCAACCTTTGGATTTTACAAATGTGGAAAAGGGGACTCAAAAGAGGTTAAGTGATTTGTTCCTGGTCACATAGTAAGCACATTTGTGCTTGGAACATAGTAGGCGCTTAATAACTACACTATACCACATTGTTTCTAAATGTTTGTACACTTAGGGAAAGGGACAAGCTGGAGGATAATATCCTCCTCACCCCCAAGTCACTAATGAACTCAGTGATAGAGGTGAGAGCTAAGAAGAAAGAAAATAGCAGGAGGGAGAGAAGGAGAGCAGGTTGGCACAGAGCTGATGGCTTAGTGGTTTAGATACAAACAGCCTGCCCCACTGGCCTACTTCCTTCAAAGAAGGACGCCAAGAGCAAACCAATAATTAATATTGAACACACAGGCAGCTCTGCCTATGTGCAAAGTGCTTAAGAATCGTTAATTAATCCAACTCCGGGCCATCTGCAAATGAACCCCTCCTTCCTACTGCCAGATAGTCCCTCCTCCCTCCAACGGAACTATGAGTGTCTGGGGAAACCTAGCATTCCACAGAGAAATGAAATGATATAAATAAAACTAGCTTCCTGAAAAGCTGCCATATTGTTTTCCCACCTTCCTTAACAGTTTTTTCAGTGATCTCAGTGCCACTGGCAGGCCCAAGGTATTGAGGGGAGAAGGGGAGGCAGATAGGTGGAGTGGGGATTAAGGAAGAAAAAGGAGAGAGAAAAAAGAAAGGAAGTGAGATGAGGGAGGGAAAGAGAAGACATACAGGTAAGAGAGACAGAAACAGAAAGTGGGACAGAAGGACAGAGAGACGGAGGGAGGAAGAGAGCAATAGAGAGATAGGCAGAGGGAGAAAGACAAACAGAAAGAGAAGAAATAAAGGAAGAAAGCATTCAGGGAACCACTGACCCACTGCCTACCTCTATATTGCCTGTCTCCCTAATCTCTAACACCCCTTCTCTCACTAGGTGCTTAGTTTATTTCACATTAATTTGCAATGCCATATCATGGCATGGAGGGTACTCACTGGGTTCCTAAAGGCTATGGCCAGTGGGACACAAACCCTAACAGGTCTTATCAGGTTGCAACTTCGTTCAGGTATGAGCTTGGTGGCAGACTGTATGTCATCTGTGGCAGAGATGAGTACAAAGAAAGTCACTCTCAGAAGGCTGGCCACAGGATCACTCAGAAAGACTGTCTTTAGTATACTTAAGTATAAGGTGTGGAGAAGGGATTTGCATGGATGGAGAAGGAACCCATGCCAAAGAAATCATGGTTCTTTGGTATAATGATATATTTCCAAGTAGCTTTGTGCTGGGTACAGAACCCTGCTACCATTCTTTTTTCTAGGTTGTCTCCTCTCCACCCCTTCACTTCCTTGGGAATTCCCTTCCTTTTTCCAAGTGAATCCTGGAGTTGATTTCAATTCCCCTTTCCTTTGTGAAACATCTAGGGAGGAGCATTGGGGCAACAGGAGCAGATCAGGGGCTATGCTATTGAGGGTGGTACGTGCCTCTGTGTAATTCCCTCTCTATGGCACCTAGCACAAGGTCACACGCATAGGGCCTTAGTAATATTTCCTGCTGATGATGAAGTTTACAAGACAAAGCGTTTGCCTTCCCACTTTAGCACCGATCACACCAGCCCTGGGGGATCCAGCCCTCCAAACACAAGAGGAATGGGCGACAACTCCTATCAAAACTCAAATGCTTTGTTTCTCCAAAACTCATCACTCACCCTTCCTAATCCCCAGTTCCTCTAACTAAGACGGGAATCCATCCGACATCCAGACAATGATTCTGATCTCAAATGCTGCCTACCCCGTTAACCACAAAAAAATAACAATGAATCACCAAAGTTAAGAAGTAGGACACTCCCACAGAGCTTGTGAAAGCCCATTGTAAGGATGTCTCATAGTAAAAGCTTGGGAAAGACTCAGCTTTTCCATTGGCTCCCATTCCAGAGTTCGCTGTTTTCCTACAACTGCCAAAAAAGATTTTCCTAAGGCATAGGTCTAACCATGTCTCACCCCCTACTCAATAAATTCCAATAGCTCCCTATTACCACCAGGATCAGATAGAAAGTCCTTTGGCATATACACAATTTACACAAGTGCTTTATAACCTGAGGCCTTACTACCTTTCTGGGTTCACATTTTGCTCTCCCTCAATTACTGTGGAAGGGAGAAGTAATATCTATACTAAAGGCAATTTTGGAAACTCTGCTAGGAGTTTTGAGTTTCCCTGAGAAGTCTCAGGCTCCCTTTCTCCGGCTGGCAGATTTTAAAGAGGGCTGGTACAGGATGGCTAATTTCTGTACAAAGAATTAACCCCATCTCCCATCTCCCCCAATTACTCCACAGCCCAGCCATCCTGGACTATTTGTTGTTTCTTGTACGAGACCCTCCCATCATCCATTTCCATGTCTTTTCACTGGCTTCCCCCACTACCCCACTCGGCTGGCCTTTTAGAAGCCCAGGCTTCCTTCAAGACTCAGCTCCCAAAATACCTTCCAGAAGCAGTAGGTTTTTTTCTGTCCCCTCATCTGCTACGGCCTTCCTCACTAAGGCTGCATTCCACCTACTTTATATGGATCCAGTATACTCCTCTTTTTTGTCATCTTTTCTCCCCCATTAGAATGTAAGCTCCTTAAGGGAAGGCACTGTTTTTGCCTCTCTTTGTAGCCCTAGAACTTAGCATACTACCTGGCACATAGTTAATACTTTAAAAATGCTTGTTAATTCTTTGTACAGGATTAGCCATCCTATACCAGCCCTCTTTAAAACCCGCCAGCCTGAGAAAGGGAGTCTGAGACTTATCAGGGAAACTCAAAACTGCTAGCAGAGTTTCCAAAATTGCCTTTATTACAGATATCACTTCACCCTTCTACAAGAGGGGAAACCTCATGTTATAGCCAACTCCTAGGGAGACGCCTCCATATTACAGAAGGAACACAATCCCTGCTACCCGAGGTCCTTCTCCCCTCAGATAATATTGGAAGGGTAGAACTAGTAGGCTTCTCTCATTATCCAGGAGTGCTAGGGAGTCAGTGTCCTTCCCAAATTTGCTGGACCATGAAGTCATCACATTTAGTGAACATGTACAAAGCATTGTGCTGGTTGCTCAGATATAAAGAGGTATAAGATAATGAATGAACCATGCTCTAAGAGACTTACAATCTGAGAAAGGACTTTTTCCATGCTAGCTGCCAAATGGGTGCTTCAGACAATACATCCTGGAGATTAAAGAGTAACGCTGGCAAAGCTCACCAGGGTCTCCAATGACAGGGCTAATCCTGTGATGGTACATGCTGGCCCCAAACCAGAATCACTTTCAGTATGATGCAGGAATACCTCCCCTATCACATTCACCAACCTGCTTCTTAAACTTAGCCTCTGGCTACATCCTAACTAGTCAGTGCTTTGAGGGATAAGGGTTATTAAAGTGGTGTCTCGGGGATTTTTTTTTTCCTAATTGGGGCAGTAAGGAGAGTAAAAAACAAACAAACAAACAAACAAAAACCAGACCACTTGATAACAAAGACTTTCTTTAAAGTTAGAAAAGACAGCCTAGGACACCACCGCACTATAAAGTACCACTTTAAGTAATTAAGATTAGATAAATCACTCAGCCACAAACAAGGTCTTGGCTCAAATCACACCAACCCTTTACAATCAGTCAAAGGAGCTCTGCTGACTCCAGCTTCCCCACGCTGGCAGGACCACGTTATTCCCTAAGCAGGCAGAAGGCCTGACTTCTGGGAAAGATAATCTTTCTAAGTCTGGCTTTAGATTAGAAAATAGAAGATGGGAAGTCTAATGGAGGAACGGGAGAAGGAGGGAAATAAGCATTTCTATAGCATGTGCTATGTGCCAGGTAAATGTGCTAAGTGCTTTACAAATGTTATCTCCTTTGATCCTCACAGCAACTCGGTAAAGTAGGTACTGTTATCAACCCCATTTTACAGTTGGAGAAACTGAGGCAAACAGAGGTTAAGTGACTTGCCCAGGGTCACACAGCTAGTAAGTGTAGCCATATATAATGACTAGAAGAAAAGGCAAGGGAAAAGTGGAGCTAAGAAAAAGGGACAGACAGCCCCATTCTAGATGCTGGAGTTTCTTAGCTAAGGAGGAAATCTCTTCATCAGCTAAATGTATATCTTGGAGTCCCTCTGACTCTCCCCTCCAAAGGCTCTTTGTTCAGACTGAGCCTCCATTTACTAGTGCTGCCAATCACTCCCCAGAATTACTAGAGATAGGGGCTGACCTCAATACATTCATCTTGAATAAATAAGAATTGGGTAAATTAATCTTCCCATACACTCTGCTTTTTGCCTCCAAGATTCATATCTACCCACAAGGTTGTGAAAGTTTGCTTTTTGAAAAAAAAATGTTGTGGGAATGGTTACTAGTAAAAGGTATTTCAAATGGTAACTCCTGAAGAAGAAAAACCATCTTCCAGGGACAAGTCTACTTCCACCCTCACACATTAAGTATTTACTTCACTTTGCAACAGTTCATATAAGTCTTCCCATGCTTCTCTAAATTCTTCACAATCATCTTTATCTTAGAGCAAAATGATAATCTGTCATGAAGGTACCATAATTTGTTGAACCATTTCCACCACGTATTTCCTTTGTTTAGAAGATATTGTGATAGTTCTTGTTTTTACATCATTTGATCTCCTAACATAGCACTTTTCCCCAACTCAGTGAACCATACAACAAAAAAAGAAAGGAGCAGGAAAAAAGCAGTTCAGCAAAACTAACCAACATATCAACCAAGCTGGATAGTATATGCAATGTTTTACACATCTATAGTCCCCTGCCTTTGCAAAGAAGGAAGGTGAATTTTCTCATCTCTTCTTTGGGGACAAACTTGGTTATAATTCTTAGGCTCAAAGATCACTGCAAATGGCAACTGCAGCCATGAAATTAAAAGACACTTGCCCCTTGGAAGGAAAGCTAT